GCTCATCAGTCGCCATGGTGGGCAACTGATCCGCGATGCACGAAACCTCATAGATTATTGGCCTAAGCTTCCCCCGAAGGTTGTCCAAGATCTGCAAGCTATGAGGGCCGAACTCAACGATGAGCCCCAACGTGCCATCGATGAATTGTTGGCCACGTACCATAACAAACCCTTACCCTTACCGTTCGGGAACTGCGGGGGGGCTGGACAAGGCCATGCAAACCATTCGTGGGTCAGTCGTGTACAACAAGGCCAAACTGTAAGCAATAGACGCCCACATCGCCCTGAAAAGACCAAACTCAGTCAGGTAGATGACGAGTCTCTGAAAGCCATCATCGAGGAACGATTGCGGAACCTCGAAGAGGAAAGGTCGACCCAGCTCGAAGCGGCGTCCTCCTTCCGAGAACAGCTTTGATCCCAGATCAGCCACGTGCGGGAAACCATCGATCGAGTCCTCTACCAGGACACCATGCTAGCTGACAGGATCCATCCTCTTCCGGGAGCAAGGGATCACCATCGCCAGCATTCTGACGGCATTGGGCTTCATCATATCAACCCTGGTCGTATCGCTGACAGGGGGTGGAGGGGGTGGAGGTACGCCCCCAACCCCACCTGGTGGTAACCAGAGACTGGGTGAGAAGACATCTGAAATCCCTCAGGGAGGCCCTGGCTAAACTCGTGGGTAAGGCCGCAAGGTCGATTGCGATCCCAGCGACCACTAGCGTGGTTCTACTATCGAGGTGTTCCTTGTTCTCAGCCACCTCACCTGGTGGGGTGGCTGTGGGAGTGCGGGCCGAATCCTGGGCTCCGGGGGTGGTACGACAATGCCCGTTTCACGGGTCGTGGGAGGTGGGACATGACTGACGTTGATGCCCGGGTTGATACCCAACTTCTGGTCGGCCGTGGCTATGACTATTTCGTTGTTGTAGCCCACCACTTTGTTGACTCTCAGTTGCATGTTGCTCGGGGCCATGTACAGTCCCACGTCGAACACGTAGTCGACTTTAGACCGGGCGTATTCCAATACGTTTTGGTAGCGTTGGATGGCACTCGGCAGGTCGACCGGGGCGGCGATAGCATCCTCAACGTTAGCCACGAACTGTTTCTGCGCATCTTAAGAAGTCCCATTACTGATGATGCTGGAGCGCGATTGTGTCTGCGCACCCACCAGCGCCCACACGTGGGTTCGAATCGAGTCATTCAATCTGGTGACACCGGCACGAGTGAACCCTTTTGACGTGTCCAGCATGAACATTTTCTAATCCTCCGCAGTGGGCTGCTCCACTTTCTTGACGATGAAAGCAACACCACCTTTAAAGTTCATACAGTCATCTCGCCATTCATTACTCGACAAAGCAAAGTCCTGGCGTAGTGCATCTCGTTTCAGTAAATCATCACTGATTTCTTTCACGGGTCGCCCCCCATTATATATAATACCCAACCCGTGGTTCGGCCCTGTCAAACGCCCATCCATCTTCGGGTCCAGTTCGAATTCATTGCAAACGCGTTCGTAGGCCCGTCGGCCGTACGGGTTGTTAGTCGAGTCTGCAGGGGGTCACCGTGACCGTGGAAGACACGATATCACTCACCAAGATATTCCTACCCGACAACATACACCTCATGGGGGTGAAGTGCACCCCTGAGAAGTTGGAAACTATCTCGTGATAGTAATATAGCAATGACCAGTCATCGGCCCAACGTCACGCTTAACGACCTATGAGACACGGAGGGGTTCGATCTGCCCGGCGAGGAAGGCACCTTGTACGTTCTACACTTGAAAGACAACATGTAAAGGCGGGTGTCCCTGGCAGACTTTAAAGAACCCCAATGGTTGATCAACATGACCCTCACCGCACCTTATATCTCTTTAACCAAGTATAATGATATCACCGAAATTAAGAACAATGGTATCTTGCTCGGGAGGTTCACCACGGGTCAGGATATAATAGTTGCCCAAACACAACGTCCCCCGGGCCACATGTTATATGCACCAATCAGGGATGCACTTTTAACATTCAACTTATACACTGGCCTATCATATTCTACGATTATAACCCCAGGCTCCACACTCATCATAGAAGTATTTTTCCCAGCCCCTCACTGGGGTTGCTGCCCCCCTTAACAAGCTACATTGACGTTAGTATAGAACAAAAGTTGCCTATTGACCTTTCCTTTATTTGCCTTCACAAGATACTAGGCCTTACACGCCTCAAGTACATTGATCGACTATTAAATGAAGACCAATTAAAAAATATCTTGTAGTATATATTATACGCACAGGATGGGCCTGATCCCAGTCGTAGAGGAAGTAGCGAAGACACTGGAAACCGTGGACAGGTTCCGCTTGAGGCAGTTATGCGGTAAAAAACGCCAACTAGAGCAAGACCGCGACAGACGGGCAGCGTTATGCAAGAAGTACCATAGAGCTTTCAATGTCGTGGACGGAGCCGATACCGCCCTTATGACAACCAGCATGGGACTAGGGGCGGTAGGTGTCGGGTTGTTGACCACCATCGTGGCCGCACCCATAGTGCTGGGCATCGAGATAACAGCTGGGGTGTGAGGGTTGGTGGGATTGGTGTTTAAGTTTGCATCCCACAGACTGCATCGTAAAGAGTTGAAGGACGACGAGATCAGGGTTCTAGCTGAAGCGAAGCTGAACACGGTAAGTGACCATATCTCCACGGCACTCACAGACAGTAAAGTCTCCGAGGAGGAGTTTCGTTTGGTCCTCTCTGAACTCGCAAAATATCACAGAATGACACAAGAGATTCGGCCCAAGTCCCGTAAGATTTCCGTCAGCGAAGCCGAGAAAAAAAAGTACATAGAACAAGGGGTACAACAAGCCCGGCAAGCCTTCATCACGAAGACCAAAGAGCTCATAGGCGATTCACATTAAACTGTTTCGTCGAGGTATAGGGCGATCACAATAGTATCATGTAACCAGGAAAGTGTTGGTTCGCGGTCATAGTGACCAGGAAGTTACCTTCGGATTCAAACAGTGGTATATACAATAGCGGAGAGAGATAAGGGCCTGACAAAAGTTTTATTTCATAAATAAAGCTTAACAGAGTCTTTTCTTGGAATTGATCTCGTACCGCTACTGTATATACTTATAGTATTCTGATTTAATCGTGGTGAGCATTCTGCTGTACACACTCAATCGATTTAGTGCATACATTAATCTTCAACACTACTGCAAGCTGCACCCTCTTTTAACTGGATTACTAGCACGGCTGAATGTGAATTGTTGAAACCAAGAAACAACCGCAGCTATCATTGATTTCATTTTCACACAGTGCCTGACTGCAAGCTAGCTGCATAAAATCAAGAGTAATTTTTGTAGTCTTGAGGCTGAACCGTATTGATAAGGATCACCACAATAGTCTCAGTGAGAAGTGTAATCTTATTTTTCTAAAATGATCATAAGCTCACTAGTCTGTGCCTACCGCCTCTCTCATCATATTTCTTTTTGTACCAAAGTGCACACCTTAAAATAACCATAGAGCGTGACCCAACAGTTCGTCAAAGTCGAAGGTTTGGTGTCAAATGGCTATTATTATAATGACAACATCTCAAAGCAACAATAGATATCTACCAGACTGCACGATATCAAACAATGATCACACGGATACTTGAGGAAAGTCGAGGTCACCCTGCCCTACCGGTGTGACACACAACAAACTCATTGTGTACCCGAAAACATTTCCACGAGGACACTTTGCTCATCTCACAACGGTGAATTGCATGGGTCACCGTGTTCGTAACTGCAAGCACATGACATATCACAAATGTTAGGTTCTAAACTTAAAGTCTCAACAGGTTTTTAACATAAACATTCCTATGAAAGCTGTGGGATGTAGTCAATAGCGTCATTTCTCAGCTAAACCGTCCAGGTCTCAATAAGAGACCCCAGATACTTTTCAAGCACATCTGCTGTTGTAACAATATACATAGAAACATACATTCATGGACGTATGGGGGCAGTGGGGTAGCCTAATTGTTAAAGCGTTCGCTCTTTACGCCAAAGAACCGGGTTCGAATCCCCACATGGGTACAATGCGTGAAGCCCATTTCTGGTGTCCCTCGCCGTGATATTGCTGGAATATTGCTAAAAACGGCTTAAACCTAAACTCATTCACTTATGAACGTATGCATGCATGCAAGCAAGCAAATATGCAAACTAGCAAGCATACACCTATGGAAACAAGCAAACACACACACATACTGTGTGACTGGCCAGCCCTCTTGTTGTTATCGACTGCGCGTATTATTTATAGATGCAGGGTTTCAAGTGTCAGTATGGATATTCACGTGATTACACCATAGCGATTGTGCTGACGTCCTTGGCCGGCTACCAAGTAGACGCGGATTCCCGGAGAGCACATTCTTCTCCCGAAGAATACACATATCGTGGTAAAGTACAAATATTCCCAGAGAGAGAGAGAGGGAGGAGAGAGAGGGAGAGGAGAAATGTTGTACATACACAGTAAATACAAGTAGTTACTTAATCAGTCATCGACGGACTGTAAAATAACTAGAGTATCACAAAATAAGACAACTAGCTAGCATGTATCTTGAAAAATTGAAAATTATTTTAGACAATACAATGTAAAAATTGGCTATAGATCGCCAACAACAGAAGGTAGATGACCATACTAGGGACCATGGGGACTTACAGTACATTTGCTACCAGCATGGACCCTAGCTGGATTTACACCATTCCTTCAGCTGCTAGCGATTGTAGGCAAATTTAGACACAAATTAAAATGACAATAATACTAAGAGTAAACAAAAAGATTACATTTATTTCAAATGTTTTGGGACTTACGTATCCTCTCAGGAGGACAATAATTTTACGGTACTTCAACCTCCCTTGAGGAAACCGCCACTAACAATCTAAGTTGCTAATTTAACCACTAATGATAAAATATATATCTATGTACAAAACATGCTAACGGTCACAGGACTTTAAAGTTGAAGTTAAAAATTATAGTTACCATGTCACAACTGCGCAGGCACACCCACCTTTAGTACCGACTAACTGCTGTCGCTCCCGTCCCAATTCATATCCTATTTTCAGTGGTAGCTATTTATTACCACACGTGTGACCATTAGATTAGCGGCTGTTGTGTGAATGCACAGTACTTCACGGTTACTTGTCAGAGGCGTGCAGGGGGCGGTGGGGTAGCCTAATGGTTAAAGCGTTGGCTCGTCACGCCGAAGACCCGGGTTCGAATCCCCACATGGGTACAATTTGTGAAGCCCATTTCTGGTGTCCCCCGCCGTGATGTTGCTGGAATATTGCTAAAGCGGCGTAAAACCAAACTCAGTCAGTCAGTCAAAGGCGTGCACAATGTTAATCTCGACTACCATCTCTCCAGTTTGTGCGTGCGTGCGTGTATGCGTGTGCGTGCGTGTATGTGTGTAAGTAGGTACGTTTATATATATGTGTGTTTTTTTGGCGTATATCTATGTATATGTGTTTTGTTTTGCAGTGGAAGACGATACAAAGTGTCTACCTTCTGTCCTTCTAAAGAGCCATGAAAAGTATACTAATTATTAGGAACTAATCGTGATTCTCTTAGTATACATACATACATACATGCATGCATACATACATACATACATACATACATACATACATACATACATACATACATACATACATACATACATACATACATACATACATACATACATACATACATACATACATACATACATACATACATACATACATACATACATACATACATACATACATACATACATACATACATACTTTTTAGGGAACTAAACGTGTTTATTGTATTATTCTACTCTTATTGTGAGTGAGTGAGATATATAGTCACATCGGCAATATTTCAGCCATATTATGAAAACATAATAAACGCAACTGAATTATATAAAACCTGTCAACGACTAAAATAACTAGATTATCACAGATTGAAAATTAAAACTGGCATGGAACTGTAAAACTTCATGGACAATACAATACATAAAACGGGCTGGAGATCACCAGCAACTCAAGGTAGGTCACCATACTAGTGATAATGGGGACTTATAGTACTTTTGCTTCCTGCATGGACCCAGCTGGATTTACACCATCCCTTCAGCCACTGGCGATTGGAGACACATGTAGCCATAAACTAAAAACACACATATTCTACGATTAAATAATTCGTAAGCTTCAAATTTACTTTGAATGTATTGGGATTTACGTACCCTCTCAGAAATGTGTCCTTGCAAAACTCCCCCAACAACATCACCTTTTCCGTCTACAGAAAACCCACCGACACTGACCAGTATATTCATTACCTCTCCAACCATCACCTCCAAATCAAACGCGCCATTTTAACCCTAACCTGACATAGACCATCTAAGAACCACGTTCATCAACCTCAGGGGTTATCTCAAACGTCTTGTAGACTGAACCATAGAATCGACCCGACAACAGCATGAAGAACGCCAACTTGTGCGTGCGAGCCATCCCCGATTAGAATAATCATTCCCTACCAAGGTCAGATCAGCCACCATATCATCCGACTGATCAAGAAAACTGCCGGTATAGATGTGACCTTCAGCTCTGACAAAACACTAAAAACCATTCTGAAGGCCAATGGTAGATGTACCTCAACCAACACTACTCTATAGGGGTTGCATCTATAGGCTAACGTGTGGCTGTGGCAGCAGCTATGTAGGAGAGACATCCCGTCTCATTGACATTAGGCTCAAAGAGCACAAAACGTCAGTATAGAAATCAGATCTAAAGTCAGCCCTTTCTGAACACATTGTGAACAATCCATCACACTCCATTGACTGGCAAGCTACAACCATCATAGCATCGAACATCCATGATTGGACGACGCAAGATTTCAGTCTATCAGCATCAAAAGATTAGCGCCACAAATGAACAGAGATCAAGGGGTTTACCTACCCAATGCCTAGGGAATTAATTAGACTCATGGCTTCACCAATCACCTCTTAATCTACTATAACAGCGTCATCCCTACCTTTTGTATCTTATCCCAGATTTTGTATATCATTAGACTATCAGCCTCCCTTTTGTACACCCATTAGACTCATTCCTTTCTACCACTTACCAACTTAATCCACTGCAACAACACCATGTCAGCTTTTGTATATTTTATTCTCTTTCATCTTATATCCGCTATTTATTGTATATACATGCTTAACATCACTCTGACTCCATGTACATTACCAGTATATATATCCTGTACAACTGTTAGTAAGTATTCACCTGAGGAAGGGACAAGGATCAGACAGCCCAGAAACGTTTTGTATACAATAAAGAAGAAGTTGACATCCATAATATTTTGTCTTATACTTGAATACCAACTTCTAAATGCCTCTCCAGAACCTCAGGAGGTACTCTTATTGTGAAAATAAGGTAAATGAAACTATGCTACATAAATGCATGATAGTTATGTATAGGAGTAAGTACATGCTTGAACAGTGTTTTTGGCCCCTCTCTATAACTGCATATAAATATAAAGACCCCGCATATTTGATGAATGGTTTCTCTTCGAAAGGACAGAATGCAAACATTTTTTCGTCGTCTTCCACTGCAATACGCATTTACATAAATAAACACATAAATATATATGTATGTATATAAATGTATATGTGCATATATATTTAGTAATGTATCTGTAAGTGTATATATTGCATATGCAGGTATATATAACGGAGTATTTGCCTAACATTGGTATGAATTACATCTCACATGGTTGTATGGTTCGCATTGAACCCAGTTAAGAGAATATAGGTTCACACAATAATGAGTTGATGTGAAGTAAAGAAATAAGCCTCTGCTGGAACTGACCTAATGGCAATGACCGCTTCGCATTCAGAGACAAAGGTACAAAACCGATCTAAACATCGAAAAAAATGCGTAAGCAAACATTTTAAAACAACATCTGGCAGGAAAGGTACAACACATACATTTCGAAAGATCTGATGAAGTGTTTTTAGCCCAGATTCTACATAATTTCTACAGAGATATTAAAACCCAAACAGCTGACCAATACCAGATATCAACTATAGAAAACATTAGCCACAGCCTAAACAGATGTTTGAAATCTCCGTATTAAGGAAAAGCAAGTTCTAAAGTACTGTCGGAAATGCTAGAAAAATGCTTTTTGACTTATAATTAAAATTCAGAGGTATTACAGTTCCTTAAATAACAAATATCACTTTAAGAAACATCTACCTAATGTAGACCGAGGGAATAAATGTTGAGACATGCCCTAAAAACCAAAAACTTAGAAAAATAAGGGGTAGTGGGACGTTATTTGATACAAACATTAACTGCCTGTGTTACGTCATCAGCATGCATGGTATCGACAGGTGAAATTGACACCTGAGCACACGTTCGGGCGAGGGGTCATCTCAATAGATGTTTTCTTCAAAATGTTGAATATGTGTACGTATAGTATACGTATTGGTTATGTAAGGGATCATTTGTGTATGTGTGATTGTTTTGAAATAAACATACGAATTACTGTACATTGGAAAGAATCCTATAACTTGTGTTATCTTATTGATTGATTGTAGAAATGTGCAACGTTTTAATAAATGTTTTGCATGTCAACATTATATTTCATTGCAAAAATATGGATGTAATTCGATCAGTTTAATCTAGTTGTGAACATTGGCCAAAGATTTAACGAAGTCACTGGTGTAGCTTCTTTAGAATATATATGTTCTTCTTCTCCTAAAGTTTGTAGACCGCCCGTCTAAGTACTCCCTTGTCAAAGTTGTCAAGGATGGTTTTACGTCCCGGTTTTGCTTTTGAGACGGCCCCTGTCTTGCCTGATTTGTTTACAATATTGTAAACTTGTTGGTAAGACATACCAACAGCTCTACAAGTTCTGTATTAAACCATTTCTATACTATTGAATGGTTAACCTCTGTCTTTTTCAAGCACAAAAAATCTTATAACCCTTTGCAACAATCGTCTGCAAATAGTTGGCCATAGTGGACGCTGTGATAAAGATCTGCATGCATGACGGGAAACATATTTACCAAGACTTAACATTTACATTAATATTTCTTCAATAAAGGAACGATAATTAAGTAAAGTAACACAAACATTCCGCATCTATTTGTTTAAGAAAAACGTTAATTTATCTTTTTACACCACCTGTATTATTAACATAAATGTAAAGACTATTTCAGATTTCTGTTGTTGAACTCTGAAAAAATCTGAAGTCGTTGTTTTGGTACCAAATTTTCTCCTGTAAACTGCCCTTTAAATGCATGGGAATGTTAAATCAATTGAAATAAAAATTAGGTACACTATAGGTGAGTTGATGTATTGACAACATGATACATTTATCACCTTTCTAAAGATATTAAGGCTAAAAAGCATTTTTCTAGCATTTCCGACAGTACTTTAGCAAGTGACGATAACGGTGTTCGGAGAACGAGTTTTTTGTCTGCTCCCATGACATGGTCGAGTTCAACAAAACACCCAAATGCACAAGTTTGACGTTCTATATTTATCATATACCCTCTTATCTTGCATTAATCTGTTACTTGATAAACGGCTTCAAATTTTCGAAATCCCAAACTAATTGTCTACATTTCTGCCGTAAATACAACCCGCATTAGGACCCTGAACTATCTTTAAATGGCACCCCCACCAAGGTTGTGAAAGTGGCTAAGTTCTTGGGTCTGATTTTCGATTCCCATCTAACGTTCCTGACACATATTAAATCCCTTAAAGCTAAATGCCTGAAGGCACTCGATTTGTTGAAGGTTCTTTCCAATTCAAAGTAGGGAGGGGATCAAACTACCCTCCTCCACTTATACAGATCATTGGTGCGATCTAAACTTGATTATTGTTCCATCGTCTATGGTGAAGCCTGCAAAAGCAACCTAAAACTACTTGATTCTGTCCCCCACCAAGGCCTAAGACTTTGTCTCGGGTCCTTTAGAACCTCTCCTAATGACAGTCTCTATGTTGAGGCTGATGAGCCATCCCTTAACCAACGTCGTATCAAATTATCATTACAGTATATAACAAACCTCGATTCTAACGAGTCTAATCCTGCATTTAACTGTGTTTTCAATCCTCTTTATGAGGATTTAAACAACAAAAAGTCTCCTCTTGTTCCGCCACTTGGG